ATGCCTGAGTTTAGCAACAGCTGTGAGGTGTTCAGGTGTCACACAGCCTTGCTGAGCACAGAAAAGCAGGTTTTACATGGACAAAATCATGTCTGCATGTGCTTGTGTGTACACACACCGGCACCAACACACACGCCTAGGTAAACATGTACGTGAAGCTTCAGATCTGGGGAGCTAAATTCAGCTGATAATTGGTTTTCTCTATGCAAGGGATTCTCCAGCAAAACACTGTCATAAGATAAAGATGTAACTGATACTAGAAAGAAAAAGATGTTAAAGTCTTTGTCTAAAATCTCAGTTAAAGTCATTGGAGCAAACACCTGATGCTTGGAAACAGAGTTTTTAAGGCTGTTTCACGGCTGTAGAAGTCACCTCCTATTGAAGCTTAATAAACACCTTTAAGAAGAACTCCACACAGCAATTTTGGAGTCCTCTCCTACTCCCAAAAGACATTACGGCAATTCCTCCATTTTCTAACTGCCTGTAAAGCTCAGTGATGGGTCCAGGATTCAGACTCAAAGGGCCTAGCTCCACTTGAGTGTTTGTTTCCTTTGTACTGACCTCTCAAGAGGAACAGAAGGAATCAACAGACCAGAGGAGATACACAAATTTAAATGGAAGTTACGCCCTCTGAATTTGGACTGTGGCTGGAGATCTAAGACCTGGACTTGGGCCTTGAGGTTCATTACTTGATTAAGCACTGTTTTAATAGCACGATGAAGTCAGCGGTATGCGAACAAGATCGCCTGGCTGAGACACACCTTACAAAACACTACTAGTTAGAACAGAGGGATTTTTTTAATGGATCGTGACAGAGAAACTCAGCATTACGCTCATAATCCTGAACTTGCACGACTCTTGCGATCTTTATAAATCACTTTCATAAAGAGTGTGGTTTCCAGGGCTGGATGCGACCTGTCAGAGCTGATGATACGCAGATACCTGCTGCAGGAAGCAGACGGATGCCAGCCGTCTCTCTTTTTAAAGGATAATCCCTATCACTGAGTGGAACACATTAACATACTTTCACTTCATCCTACCCAAAAGCTCTCTATTAGTACGCACTTAAATAGAGGAGAAAGTTCTGCGGCAAGGATGTCCTCCTGTTTCGCCTGCCTGCGATCATGTAATCTTTATCTTTGCCTGCCTAATGAGCTGAGCACTTCAGCCTGGCCCAGCAAAAGGCTTGTGCCCGCACTTAGCCTGAGCATCCAGCATGGGCAGCGCTCCAGTGTCTTCAAGACAATGACTATGCATTTCTCTCAGCGTGGACTAGAGCTCAACAGGCAGGACTGCAACCTAAAAGCAGCACATTGGCTTTAGAGAATAAAATGTTCATTGTACCCAGGAACCCCTTTAATATTGCAGCCTCCTTTTTTCTCTCCTAGGCTCTGTAGAGGCTGCAGGGCCAACAGCGTATTCCAGTCTCCACAGGCCACTCAGTTCTAGCTTTGGGATAGCAATAATAGTCTCTAACACTTCACTCAAGTGTGCTTATAAACAAAGACTTTATTTATGTTCAAACAATAACACCTTGCAGCTGAGCTGCAATATATGTAAAAGTATCTGGCCGCAGTTTTTGAAATAAGTATTTGTAGAAAATGGCTTTTCAATCTGGTGATTAATTGTTCCAGCTGAAATACATGGAAGGAATTGGCACCAGCTCTGTCAATCTTATATATTGTCCTGCATGTTGTAGATTTTCTGAGAAGGCTTAAACATTTGACTGAAAGCAGGGTGGCCTTTTTTTTTTTATCCCGAGAGTCTCTATGTCACATACGTACAATTTTGAAAATACATGGGAAAAAATAATCCTAAAAATGTACAGAGTTTTATGTCAAATTTACATTCCTAACATGTTGCAGTCATTCAAGATTCTTTTCCAACACATACTGACTTAGGGAAGCCAAGCCTAACCAAATAATTGACTTTGTTGTTGTTGTTGTTGTTGTTATTCTCATGCATATTGTTGAGCTTTGGTGCAAAATATTCTCCAATACTGTCTTGCATATCAGAGCCTGATCCTATTTCATTTGAAGGTGGTTACCGGAAATCTACTGGTTTCAATGGGAGGACAATTCCTTCTTGTGAACAAGGAAAGGCATTTACATAAAAAAATAATGTCAGAATTGAAGAATTCCCTGGTGGTGTCTACAGTCTCAGAGGACAGAAATTCTTACCAAGTGTTTATTTCAGAAACGACAAAATACTGCATTCTTTACATTGACATGATCAAGTAGGATGATGCAAATTGTCTAAAGAAATCAAAAAGGGCATTATCTCAGATTTTCTATGTCCATTCTAACATTTTTTCTCCCTTCTTCTGTGACTTTTCTCCTCTTGGTATTCTTATACATATTGTGAAGGATGTGATTTACTATTCTCTCTACTGTTATTATTCTGGCAGTGACAAGGATAATATTCATTGCAAAGCTGACAGAATGTTAAGAATTAAAAAGAAATATTTCCATTTAATTGCATGTACTTCTATATTTATCATCATTTCCTGTTGCTATTGCTGCAACATATGAGTATATAAAGTTTCCTGTGTCCCATTTTAATGTGCAGATTTGATTTGCTTAATGCCCTTTGGCTTCTCACGCGAGACAGCGGAAATTTAAAGGGAAAAATAGTTATCTTTAATACTACATGTTGCTGATACTTATGCCATTTTAAATATGGCATTTCTCATTTTGGAGCTTCTGGAAATGTATTATGCTTTAAATCTGTCCCTTTGCAATATGTAACAATGATTCACCGATTTCCTTATGTAACTGATGGTGTATGCTTCCAGGTAGTTAAAAGAGAGTACCCTCCTTGGAATATTAGTAAGGCTCATGACTATAACACAAATGAAAACTCTTTTCTTCATGGGGACCACTGCTTTCCAGCTATTTAAGAGGTGTAAAGGCCCTGGATTTGGCTACTCTGAATGCTAGCCTAAAGGGAGCTTCCAGAGAGCTGGAGGTGAACGTAGCTGGACACTCCTCCCTGCTGCCTTCTGCAAGGACGAGCCATCGTGGAGCTGCTGTTGTAGTGCAGACCCTGGAGAACTGATGATCATTATGACCCCTGATGAACTGTCATCTGAACAGACTGCCCTCACCTTTGCACTCTGTAAGACTGGGACTCTCATCCAATCTGTTTGAGTTGCATTGAGGCAACCCTCTGCCAGAGCAATTTTTCACTTTTTCCGACAGACCAGGTCACCTCTTCAGCTCTCCTCTAGCTCCCTCCAGCCTCCCAGTGCTGCTGCATCCTCACCCCATCCCTGCACAGTCCCTGCGCAGGGCCAGCCCTACCTCTTCTCTTTGTTCACGTAGCTGAGGCACTGCTCGATTTGATGTCAGCTGGCGGGAATGCAGTAGCGCTTTGGAGTATTAAAACAATTCAGAGCTACTGAAGTAGCCTGATTGCTTACAAAGGGAAGGCCACAGGACCTCTGTCCTTTCCATCATTAAAGCAAAGGATGGGTTTGTAGGAGGACACAGCTCTCCCTCTTGTTTGATAACAGAACGAGGTTTCCTGTATTTTTCTCTTTTTTCTTTTTAATTTTGTCATAAGTAGTTTGTGATGCACTCTGTGAAAAAAAAAATGTCAGATTTTACTTCTCTGGGCTCAAGCCTCCCAAAGATCAAGAACTTTATGCAGGAGACATTACTTCTCCTCTGACCACTAGGGGATCCTTTTTTTTTTTTTTCCCTAAAAACGGCCAGCGCGGTGCTGGCTTCTGTCAGAAAGAGGATATTGCGCTAGACAGATTTTTGGCTAGAGCCAGCCAGGCAATTCTGATGATCCTAAAATGAAGGTAGAGCGACAGTAATTACAGAGAAACCCGTGTTTTCAAGTTTATCAGGTTAGAGGAGCTAGGGCTGTAACCTCGAAACAGTGTGCTCCTGATCAGCATCTCAGTAAGGAACCTTACTAAGATGCTTCACTTCCTTATGCATGGGCCCAGCGTGCTTGAGGTGTTGAACACGAGACTCGCGCTTCGTGGCATCGGGTACCAACCCATCACCTGAGTGCTCCGACTTAGCTGACAAAGCTGAGCTTTAGCATGAGCCAACCAGTCAAATATTGGCTGAGCTCACAGAGCACCCCTTGCGTGAATATTACCCCAGCAGGACACAAGGACTGGTGACATCTGATACATTTTAACCCTGATTATAGTTTATATACCCACATTGGCTTAACTTTTCAAGATGCTTTTGCAAGAGAAATAACCAGCTTATTTGAAAACGAAGAGAAGTGTAAAAAATGGCAGTCATTTCCATTTCAAAGCTCCTGAAAGTGGAGGTGAGGGCCCCAAGAGCCCCGGATCTTGGCACTGGGCTGCGGGACGGTAAATTGCAGCAGGATCCAGGCCCAGAGAGGTTTCCTGCAGGTGGAAAAGCTGCCGGAGCTGCCAACAGCGCCCGCCGCCTGCCAAGCACAGCCAGGGGCTGGGTGCGCCCGTGCTTTCCTATGAGCTCTAACCACACGGAAACCCTACAGGAAGCCCTCGCCCGTTGGGCTACCAGGAAAAAAAAAACAAACAAAAAAAAAACAAAAAAAAAAAAAACAAAAAAAACAAGGAGTTTTCTAA